CTAAAATGACACAGCCCTCTCGAGTCAAAATATGCATACATATTAACAAACTTTCAAATAACATTGAATAATAATGCATTAATCAAATGGAAGGGAAATGTTAAATTGTTAATCCCTTGCGTAGGCAATAATTTTATAAATCCAAGCAATTAAAAGGAAGACTTGTGTGAAACACATGTACATCCACCCGGAGACGCAATACACGTCGGCCAGCGAAGGCAATTTGATCAGTTGTTCTCCCTTTCTGATGGCCTCATCAAACCCTCTCGGCAGCACGACGTTGGGTGGCTCTTCCTTTTCGTCCCAGCTGTCCACATACTCGGCACCTCCACTGGCCTGTTCCCCCACAATGTCGGCGTCGTCATGGGAGAATAAAGCCGATTGGTTGAAGGGAATCTCCCCGGACGAGAGCCAGCTGAGACCGCACATTGCAAGTGCCTCCAACAGCTCCTTGCGTGTCGACTCCTTCAGATTTTTTCGTGCAATCTCATTCGGCTAAAGATTTGTACCAGTTTACACAGTTGACTCAAGATGATATGAGCAAATTATAAAAGAGAATTAAGCAAAATGTTAATTTTTTCACCGGTCCACTTTAAGAAAAAACCATACAGTTTCGAGTGAGAGCTGGCGAGTTGATCAAAGATCACCGAAACCGTTTCGCGGCTTCAGGTAGAGCCTAATTCTGAGCATTTCGGCATAATTGATCAACCGAACATGTGAAGACCAAGAAGATGTGACGTTTGGTGTGATCGCAGTCGCCTTTTCAGGCAGAGAAGTGGCTCGATCTGGTTGTCAAAACTTGGTCTTGTTGTCAGGGCAACTTGGTAGAATGCGATATTCGTTGTCATAATTCCCAGAATGAGACAGTGGACTTGGTACATTCTCAAACGTTTTGCCAGCATCGTAGTCGGTCACACTATCAATCCTCTTTCTGTCCTGGACTATCTATCTACTCTTTACCCTCCTACCCCACTGCCTCTCTGGGAAAGCAAGGTTATGTGAAATTGAATGGAAATGTCATATCATTGTGGGAAAATTCTTTTTCTACCAGTCCTTCATCTTCTTAAACGAAATCGTGTGAATACATCTCATACTACTGATTTACTGATAGTCACGAAAACAAAACTTAATTCTACAAATAAAGTATAGTAGTCGATTGTTATTGCAGATATATGTTTGCTTCATAGACGATCCCACTTGAATGAGGAAAACTTTTGGGAAAGCAAAAATGTGTGAAATTGAATGGAAACGTCAGCCCAACTCATATGAATGTAGGAAAATTCTTTTTCTACCAGTCCTTCATCACCTTAAACGAAATTGGGTGAATACATCTCATACTA